AGTACAGTTATATACATGTTTAAGCCAGAATGATTTTACATTTAAATATGATTTCCCTATGACTTTTCCCTTTAAGCTACTTAGGAAACATTCAGGATTGTGTGTTCCTCTGTGGATGGTGTAGCAGCAATCCTTCAAACTGAGCACTGATGTAGCAACAGAGATTAGGGGACAGATGGGCTTATGTTTAAGTGATTTCTAAGCTGTTAAGTGATTCTACACATCACACTGTGATAAGATAAGCTTCCCAAAAAATACGATTTATCAAAGTTATTTGATGATGGGATGATTGATATAAAAGGGGGACTTGATGATCTGAAACACTGAAGTAACAACAGATGATGAGAGTATACTTGTTCATAGCAATGCATCTCTGAGATTTCAATAGCTGGAAGTCATTTAGAGGCAGCAAACTGCATTGATACCAATGCGTCATTGTGTTGCTGTCAACAAAAGCTAATTTAGTCATAAATCAGAAAGTAAAAAAAAAAAAAAAAAGCAGTTGAGAAGATGTGGTGTGACGGTTGTGGCCTGTCTATTCATCCCCACACACTTAAGATGTGTGTACAGTGACCTCCTTCCTAGTCGCTGCCAGAATAAAGGGAGCGTCCTCCATTCTGGACACTGGCACTACAACAGCCTCCCTGTTTGAAAGCCTGAATTAGGTTTTCTAGAGTGCTGCCTGCTGTATGAAAGAAAATACTTTATGCTCTTTCTCTGCCAATTGATTCCGAAATGTTTATCACACGCACACCCACATACACACCCCATCTCGCTGCCATCACATGGCTTCAAAAGGACCACACACACACAAGCCGTGGAGTTCAAAACAGGCTGGATGGTTCATGTGACTGCATGCAGCTCTGTTTTATCACACACACACACACACACACACACTGTTGCTCGACTTCCACCTCCATCTCCCCACGTTCCCTCTGCTGAGCCGGCCCATTCACGGCTCCTTTAATGGACTTCAGCCGGCAGCTTGTCAGAGAGGCTAACTGAGTCAGCTCCTTTAGAGCCAACATCCAATCTTGGCTTAAGCTCTGACTCACCTAGTTGTTAAAAAAAATAAAATAAAAAATCACCAAGCAGCACCGCACAGGTGGATTCACTCACAAATAAGCACATTACCCAAAATGTGACTCATTAATTGGTATAGTCCCCCGTGGGAGTTACAGCTTTTGCTTAACAAGCTCATCCCTTTCAATATGTCATTTAAGGATTAAACATGGTAAACTGTGCTAAAAAAAAGGCAAAGAGGTGAAACAAAGGCATCCTGCTTTCACAAACAGTTATTCATAACTTACAAATATTCATATTTAATGTGTTACCTGCGGTGTCTTTGTTCAGTAACCCTTTTATATAGATCCAGTTCATGGCAGGATGCACAAACGGTACTGTTTAAAGGATTGTGCATTGGTCTCCAAGGTGGAAACAGAAGGAATTTATATAATTTTACTCCGACTTCAGCCTTCTGCTCATGGGTCAGATAAGATCCCCAAATGCTGTTTCATGAGTTATGTTTTATTCATGACTGGACCTCTGCACAGCATGCTTAGGGTCACCATTTGGGCTCCTGCACATCAATAAAAGGAATCGCAGAGAGTTTAGTTCATCAAAATAAGGTTTGTTTGTTTTTGTTCTCTCTGAGCTCAAACAAGAGATCATAATTGAAGAAAAACCATAGCAAAAAAAAAGGTAAAAAGGTTATATTACATAAAATCAGCTAACTGTAACAATAATTAGTGACTAAAAATCAACCATTCCAATGGTGCTTCTGTAAGGCTTTGTGCTCTTTAGCATCAAGCTCTCAATCATTTATTTTGTTGTGTGTGGAATGTTACAAGAGCCATAAGTAATAATGACAACCAAAGCCAATTTCACAAAAATAGAATTCAGAATAAAAGTGAATAGAAATTACAGCCGACACATTGATCCAAAGTAGTGCAACACTCTGCTTCTAGGTTGAAGGTAGAAAAATCTGACGTTACTACCATCCCAGGTGATAAATGAGAAAGGGTTTTGCTTAGTCTTACAGTAAATTTCCTATTTATTGCTCAATTAATCAAAAAACAACTAATATTATTACTCAATGTTGGGGAGGACAGAGTTTTGGAACAATAACAGAAATTCAGAGGCTTATATTGATCTACAAATTCTCTGACTACACCTTGAAATGGTGACTATAGCTCAGTGCCAGTCAGGGAGGGTCCAGAGGTCCAGGAATAGTAATAACTCGTTATGGAGATGATAAAATAAAAAGAGATGCATTCTCTACGCAGCCCTCCTGCTCTTCAAAACACAGCTAATGGAGTGCGCGACCTTTTCTAACTGATGACGCCCACGCAGCCGCTTCAACACCAAACTCCATCAGGAAACTCTAATCCCAATTATGGGTAAAAATTACACTAACTCTTTTCCTTTCCAGCGGGGGAAAGATGAACACCTCAGGTGATGCCCTCGATGAAACCGACTCATAAAAACACAATGAGTAAAAGCTGTTAGAGGAAAAAGGTTATGGGACAAATTAAGCGTTTCCTCCATTTTTTAAAGTCTCTATTGGTCAGCGAAAAAAACCCAGCCTCAAATCTGTTCTAAACGAAATAATACAGCGATACAGTTGATTCCTTCCCGCTTTCATCGCGGCCTCAAACCCAATGCAGGGGAGCAGAGCATCTCCCTGTTCAGCCAAACCAATGCTTCCCTCTAACGACCCCCTTTCAGAGGCAAAGATGGGTATCGGGTAATGCAGGCTAACATCCTGGACCTCAGTTATTTGTCAACCGCCCATTCCCATAGGAGGACCCTTTTGTCCGGTTCAATTTGCATGTTTTGCATCAACGCTATTTCTGACATTTTGAAAAGAAAAAACGTCCTGGATGGGAAGCGAAACGTCTTCAAACTTGCCAACAAGGTCCAGTGGATTTATTTTTTTACTTTTTTGGAATGTGCTAAATGAATGAAGATAAAAGCTATCTTCACCTGTGTATAAAAAAGTTTCAGTTTTAGGTGTTTGATTTGCATTAGCACCAAAAAAAATGCCTATCAATGGTTCAACAATACAATTGGCTGCTAAAGTTGAAAAAGGATCAGGATGGTTGTTAGAATGAATCCTATTCAGCGGCTTTCTTGGTCTAAAACCTTAAGAGAGACATTTTAAAGCATGTTGACAAAGCTATTCAATGTAATGCTTACATCATGCTTCGCGATCTTGCTTTTAAGCTTTTAACAGATCTCAAAAATGTCAAAGATGCTTGGATTTAACTACTGATTTATGCAGTTAAAATAAAGCAAACATCCTTGCATGCTGAAATTCAGCCCCCTGCATTTAAAGGCTTATAATTTCTGAGCCTGTTTGTCCTGATTTTTAACCAATTTCCAACGAAGCCTATGAATAAACAGGGTCAAAGTGAAGGTGGTTGTGAGTCCATTTCCACACCGTTGAAGGTTTCGAACGTCTTAAATGAGGAACATTAAAAAAAGAAAAAAATTCAGCTTTATTTTCCCATCAATGCTTAAATAATTGAGCTAAACAGCGTATTTCTGTTGCTGTTTAGTCCTGGATATTTTATTTTGCTCTTAAATGTCTTTATTTTCCTGGTTACATTCAGCAAAGTAGTAAAAGTTTAGTTCTGGTCAGAGGTTTTTGCAGACACCTCTGCTGATGCTTAAAGTTTTTATGTTATGACAATTTAGAACAATTGGATGTAAATTAATTGATAAATTTTTTTAAGAGTTTAAAACAACAGATCATAGCTGCATTTTAGTCCTGACACAAAATTATGACAACTTCAGGCATCAGTTCATCCAAATGATCAGTACAGATGCACAGGTGGAGGATAATCAATCTATGACTAATCAGAAGATGGATTGCTCTTGAACAGAGTGTAAAAGATGTGCCGATATCATTTTCTTCATTTTTTATAAACGGTTTAATCCAAAGTAAAGTGGCAGCCATGATATCTTGGCATCAAAATAACCTTGGATGCAGGAAATTGCTGCTGAGTTTATTCCTGTTTATATAATATATTTTTTTAATCTTTGTGAATGAAGTGTGCTACTTTGAGTATAGAGTTTGGTTAAATTTGGCAGATGAGGCTGACTAGATTTTTAAGAACAAAGGGAAATTGGTTTTCTATCAGTTTGAGAAAGCTGTCAGAGATAAAAAACAGTTCAAACTTATTTCACGCAAATTTTGATTAGGATCCATTGATTTCCCAGCATAAAGAAAAATAAAATTACATCTAAATAGCTGAAAGATGGGTGCATGTAGAATTTGGAACAACCATCTTAAACTCTACTTTTTAAAGCTCCATTGATAACCTGTGATCAGCACTGAAAAAGAAAATGTAAAAACAAAAAATGCAAGAATGTAATCATCTCAAAGGGCTAAGAAGAGAAAAAATGGGCTAGTATGAGTTAGAATTAGGTCCATGGGCTTATTTCAGTATGACAGAGAATCTTAGAAATTAGGATTATTTATCTCCCACTCTCGATTTAGTAATTTTCGTCTTGAAGTGTTGAGCAGAGCTCCTAGAAACAGCCATAAACGACCTTCTTACAGAAGATGTCGTCACATTATGCCTCGTAATCAAATAAACTACAGAGGAAAATGATTCCTCTGAAGATTTATTCCTGTTTTCTTTAAGCACAAACTTTAAGTAAACTGTATGATACCCCGTTGGTTTAATAACACCTGATTTTCTTCTATTAAATGGTAAAACTGAAGCTCTCTGAGGCCTCATTAGATTCTAAACACTTTAACATGTCGCCTGAATAGGAAACAAAGTTAAAACTTGATTCTTTTTTCATTATTTTGCAATTTGCTTCATATTTACACTTTATACATGCAGACGTAGCAGGGTCTTTACCTCCTATCCTCTAAGCATTCTTCCTAAACATGTTTGGTTTTGCTTTAGTTTGCGTCAGTGTGTTTTTATGACAGGTGTATATGGTTCTCTTAACACATGCATGTGTCATGATATAATTGCACATACCTGCAGGACAGTCTCCCTCTGACATAATGAGGACTTCAGACTGCAGCTTGCAGGCGTCTCTATGGAGGAAACACTCGTTCTGGTAGTTTTTGTTGTTAGAGCCGCACACTGGGGCATAGTCATTGTTGCACTGCAGAGAAAAGAGAAAAACCAGGATGAAAATAAGCAAAGAAAATCATGACCTCTGTATGGGGCCAAAATGGTAGCTTTAATATTTGCAAATGTGTGTGGAGAGTTGTGTGTCTGTATCTCGATTTGTGTGTGTGCAGTGGGATTTGAAAATGTGTAAATAAATCTGTAAATGTGTGAGGAGATTTGTGTGTCTGTACAACAATCTGCAAATGTGTAAAACTACTTGTGTGTAATCCGTTTTGCAAATGTGTAAAAAATCCACAAATCTGTATTCAGATCTGCAAATGTGTACTGAGATTTGCAAATGTGTAAAAAATCCACAAATCTGTATTCAGATCTGCAAATGTGTACTGAGACTTGCAAATGTGTAGATCAATCTGGAAGCACACACAGAGACACTTGTGTCTGAAGTATTTTCGCTTCAAGACCCAGAAATACAGACAAATCATTGGTTACAAGTCAAGCGGTTTTTCGGTTGGCTCTCTTTACACACGTGATTTTTGCTACTCTTCTGCCGCGTGAGATGCACAAATGCGTAGAAGGATTTGTATGTCTATTTTCGCGATTTGTAACCCCTTGCGCAGGCTCGCAGGCTCACATGCTGCCCTGACCGCAGGCTCACAGGCTCACAGCTCTCTCTCTGCTGCGACAGTTCAGCACAACTTGCTTCACATACAGCCACATACCACCAGTTAGCGGTATTGTACAGTACGTGACGTTACTGGGGTCCTAGGGGTTGTACCTGCTAAGTTGAGAGCAATGGAATCCCGTCAGCTTTCTGTAAGTATATTTCTTTAATTTTTTCTATAGTTTGCATTAGTAAAACTGTTTCTTCTTCTTCTGCTTCTGTTTTATGGCGGCTGGCAAGCAACTTTATGATGTGCATTACCACCATCTACTTCAGTGGAGTGTGGATCGGGATGCTATGTATTTTCCCACTGAAAAATAAAAATAAATATTAACAATATTTACATAAATAAACTTATATCCTTTCTACCAATTTCGTTTTTTCAAGATTGTTTATCAAATTACAAAAACAATCATAAGTAGATTTTTTTTCCCCCAAAATATCTTGTATATTTAAGTGTAATTTATTTTCTTGTAACCCTTCTCTCCATAGAATATTTATAACAAAACAACAAAACATGCTCCACCGTCTCCCCTTGATAACAAAAACCACAACTTCCTGTTCCCATTCTAAATAGGTTTCCATTTAACCCCGTGTTTCCGAAACTTAATCTAGATATAACCTCTTTTTTATTCCTTTCCGTTCTCCTCATTTCACCAATTTTCCTTTGAATACTATAAAGCCAACTTCCAGTTCTATGCTCTTCCCACAGCTTCTGCCATCTTTCCATAACCTTTTGTTTAATAATAGATAAAAAATTTTCCTTACTGAATGGTATCAATATCATCCTTGTCACGTCAACTCCCGCAGCGGAGGAAAAAAAAAAAGGTAGAGGCTGTCTGTGAGCCTGTCAGCCTGGGGTCAGGGCAGCATGTGAGCTTGCGAGCCTGCGCAAGGGGTTACAAATCGCGAAAATAGACATACAAATCCTTCTACGCATTTGTGCATCTCACACGGCAGAAGAGTAGCAAAAATCACGTGTGTAAAGAGAGCCAACTGAAAAACCGCTTGACTTGTAACCAATGATTTGTCTGTATTTCTGGGTCTTGAAGCGAAAATACTTCAGACACAAGTGTCTCTGTGTGTGCTTACAGATTGATCTACACATTTGCAAGTCTCAGTACACATTTGCAGATCTGAATACAGATTTGTGGATTTTTTACACATTTGCAAATCTCAGTACACATTTGCAGATCTGAATACAGATTTGTGGATTTTTTACACATTTGCAAAATGGATTACACACAAGTAGTTTTACACATTTGCAGATTGTTGTACAGACACACAAATCTCCTCACACATTTACAGATTTATTTACACATTTTCAAATCCCACTGCACAAACACAAATCGAGATACAGACACACAACTCTCCACACACATTTGCAAATATTAAAGCTACCATTTTGGCCCCATACCTCTGCAACATTACATCCAATTACGGTACGAGGAAGTGTTTTTCACACCTGGAGAGTTACAGTACTGGTGCATTCAGTTGGTGAAAAATACCACTGAAACCAGTTTAGCTAAACAGTGCAGAGAAGATATATAAGCCAGCAGAAATGTTTGGTCAATGTTAGCGTTTTTAAATTTTTTTATGTCTTGTCTTGTCTCGGTATCAGACGATTGGAGGGAATTTTGTTCCATTATTGCTGCAAGCGGATAAAAAAATGTAAAAATGGAATATAACAAAAATGAAATCCAGAAATTAAAAGCTAAAACTATAATTATTTTTCATATATTGTTGTTTTTTCCCCCCACTTTTTTAGATCTTATATTGAAATAAAAATGTTTAAAACTCCCCTTTTTCAAATTTACATGCATTTACAACATCACATTCTCCTCATCCCATCCTGACCAAATGAAATAAGTCTGTACTCTTAAGCTCATCTCCAAAATGTAAGAGAATTTGATCTTTAAAAAGCATTTTAAAATGAATGCAATGAACAAAACTCAATCTGAAAAAGAGAAATTTGAAAAACGCTAATTGAAAAATTTAATTCTGAAAAGAAAAAAAATGTGAAAAAGGTAAAAATAAATATCTGAGAAAACAGCAATGTTAATGTAATTTGTAGATTTATCTTTTTCTCTCTTTTTTTGAGTTTTTACGACATTAGTGGCTTGTTTTTTTTTTGGACAGTAGGCTGACAGACCACTGCGCCACCAAAGCACTCCCAGATTTATCTTTTTCAAATGTCCATTTACAAACATGTTGTTTGCTTGTAACAATAACGGAACAAAATTCACTCCATATAAGTGCATGGATTTGCCGATTTAGTTCTTGCCATGCAATGTATGCATTTCATGCTCACATGAAGAACATTGCCTTTCTTTCCATTTGACATCCATTATAAATCAATAGTTCCTTTTATTATTTAGGCTAGTAAAACATCTATAATCATGGCTTGATTTTTCAACATGTAAATAAAGGAATTAAAAGCAATATCAGCCCCCACTGGGGGTCCAGAGCCCTACTTTGGGAACCGTTTTACTTTATCTGTTGCTAAAGATTTAAAAAAAATCCCATTTTGTGTGAATAAACCACTATCAAAATGTAAAAAATGTTCGAATCCAAAGGTCAAACAAGTCAAACTGAAAATTGTTTCCATTCCTGTAGAATGTACAATAAGCCCAAACACAGCTGAGCTTGGCCAGAGCACAGAGACGTTAGATAAGAAGACTCTTTATGAAAATTCATATGATCTGCATCTCTGTTAATAACTCTGCCACATAATTTTTCTGTATAGAAAGAATTGAAATCTGTTTTATCTTTTTATTCTTTTCTATAAAATATCTTAATCCAAATAGTGAATTGAAAGTGAGAAAAAATAAATAAACAGCCATAGTTGAAGTAAAGACTTTGAGGAAAGCTAGAGAACTATTGATCTACACCTTTTTACACGGATAAAAGTCCAGCTGCTTAGAGGTAAAAGGAAAGAAATGAGGAATGACTCGACAGTTTTGAAGTTATCTCTGTGAAAGCTCCATTAGATGAAGAACTCCAGGTGATGACCTCCTGCAGCTGTTTACCTGCATAATGTTTTTTAAAGCTTACCCTGTGATTTCTACAGGTAACCGAGTCTATACAGCAGTAAACTTTTGATGCAAGTTAAGAAACTATTATCAACTTTAAGATGCCGAGTCCTGGCATTTATGAGAAACCATAAGATTCGTGCTGTGAAGTCTTTAAACAACACTTTTGTGTTTTAAACAGGAAAAAATGGCAACTTGTTATGCTTTCATCTCCTTCTTAACTTGGAGAGGATAGTTATAGTTCACTTCACTGAGTTCTGCAGAAAAATAGCTTTACCTCCTGCTGATCTCCTCGTGTTGCTCCAATGGAGCAGTGGGAGGTTAAGTGACTTGCTCAAGGGCACTCAGGAAAATGGCTGTTAAGGTACAGAGCAACATTACTCATTCATATCCCCACACGGTTTGTTGGCTACAGAGCACGTCTGGATTTTTCAGATGACTGATGGCACTCCAGGACTGAGTCTCAGTGTTCCTTTTTGGGGAACCGAGGAGGGCTATTCATTTGATTTCATATTGATTTTCTGCTGCTACACTGCTGGAATAACAAACGTGATTATTCACTGGAAAAATATTCCCCACCGTTCCCCATGAAGAGGCCGCGGCTATCTTAGGCGACAGAGGAACTGCTGCGTATTACCTGATTACATTAAACAGTGAGGAAAATTTGGTGGTGAGTGAAAAAGTCTTTCCTGCTGTGTGAAATGACACAAACTGAAGAATTTATCTCAGGAGAATAAAGCAGAACTAAAGGATTAAACAGGCTTTACTGTGAACCTGAGATCTTTCCTCATACATGTCCCGGCAGGGATGCAAATTGAAAGTTTCCATCATTTTTATTTTTAAAAAGAAAAGCTTTGATATAGCTTTAATTCATGAAGCCCTTAAATACCAAAAACCTAAACAATACTAAGATCCCTCCTCGTGGTCAACTCTGAATTATTGCTAGAATCTTTTTTTTTGGTATATTTGTTCAAACCAATATCTTATTGTGACTGTGGTCAGGCTTCAGTCTGAACATTTCAGTGAACAACATTTGTAGAAGGAGAATGTAAATGTCACACACCAGCCTGCTCTTTACAGAAGTAAGAATGGATGCCGGCAACTTTATTTCATTAAATTATTAAGCATCAATATTATGACCAAAGGTATGAATACAATCAGACACTCCGTCCATTAATCTCTTCTTCCTGAGCTATCTCTATAGTTATGCTGCTATAGGTTTAGACTGCTGGAGGACATAGGGACCCCCATTTCATCATTCTGCTTCATTCTCTCTCTATTCTCCTATTCTGCAGAATCTGTTAGTTCAATCTCTAACGTTCTGCTCTCTCTGCTTTT